GTTTATTTAAATTTTTTTTTGGTGGTTACGAGGTCGGTTGAATTGACCAATCCTGTTTTGAGTTAGGGTAGAGAAAATAACAGATAAACTATATATGAACTTAGAGCTACTTAGGATAAACAAATGTAGTTTATGTTATAATTTGAAGTTATTCTAGAAGGAAAAAAAAAAGGGTAGCTTAGGTTTATTTAGATTTTTTTTTGGTGGTTACGAGGTCGGTTGAATTGACCAATCCTGTTTTGAGTTAGGGTAGAGAAAATAACAGATAAACTATAAAGTTTTGCTGAAAAAAAAATGTTTGAAATGCATTTAGGAGGTTTTAGGGATTACACAAAGGACATTTGAGATTTTTGAGATGAGGAAAAGTATTTTTAATTTTAACATGAATATTACTTTGCACATGGACAATTCAGATCAGATACTCAATGTATTCTTGGACAAATCTGTTTTATTAAAAATACTTAACTAAAAAATATCGTTTTTTGTATGTGAAAAACATTATTAACTGAAAGACTGACAAATGTTATGAAGATATACACACTATATTGAAAGTTAGAAGTATTAGATTATAAAGACTTTAGACGAGTACAAAGAGGTCATGTGGTTAGTCAAATGGATTGAGCCCATGTTAAGAGAGGTAGGAGACATAGTCTTAATGCTCTTTAAAGTGCATTATGAGATTGAGGATATTTTACATTGTATGAAACTGGTAACTTCCAAGACAATATCTCACCACTTCACACAGAATAACTTGATCCCTTGCATGCCTGCCTATGAGATTGACATGCCACTAGCCTTGAGCTAACTCTCACCTAAAAATCACATGTTTAGCGTGAACTGCACTAGTGCACGATGACATCATCATGTGATGAAAGCCCTCTACCAATAGGAGGGTGACACAACCTCAGTGTGCATAACTCCCTTTAAGCACTTGCACTCAAAATGCATATTTTGATTAAATATGATTGAAAAGTTGTACAATTTTCAATAAAATATTTTTGATTTCTTAATACTTAGATTGTATTTATTAATTTGATTTCAGGTTTTAATAAAAAATAAATACTGAGCAGCGAGGTATGGATTGTATCGGTTATAAAATTTGTTTCACGACTAATTAAAACAAAATCACAAAATATGCAACACTTTATCTTCAAATTTATGAATTAAACTTGATAGAATTTTGTTTTATGTTTTAAGTTTGAGTAATATTTCTCAAAATTGGTAATAAAAAATGCAGTGCAATTTTTATGAAAACAGTAATTCTACAAATCAAACTTGTTACAAGCCCATTTTAAATTTTGATTAGGCATTATTTTTTCTGGTGAGCTACATACGTTATTATTAACTTTGAATTTGATCTTGTTCAGATCTCTGTATATTTATAGTATTGAAGAATATTCATTATCAATGTGCAGGAGCTTCACACCCTTGTGCAAACAATTCACGTTACAAGATCGGTGTTTTTTAAAATCAACGGAACATATATTCATCCTTTGGGTTGAACTGCAACAAAATTAGTAAAAGTCATACATGTATTGACTTGTTATTGTCTTAAAACTTGTAAATAAGTGAATCACTGTCATAATTTATCATAGGGTACTTGGTAAAATATAAATCTTGATTGATATGTGTTTCAAAGCAACTTCATTTTGATAGCTATCAGTTTCAAGCCTAACAGTTGTGGAGTTGCACATAATCATTTTTATGTGATGAAAAGTGTTTATCTCAGCAAAATGACAAGGTTCCATTCAATTTGTGCAAACAAATGGTAATTAAGTACTTGAATGTAACTACCAAAAGATGGGATTCATGAACAAAAATAAAGCTTGTATAGCTGCTGACTAAGCTCTAATATAAGCTCAGTTACTAAGAGTCAAATATACATTTAGTTTTTTTTAAAGCATTTTTTTATTATATGAAATCAGATTATTTATGAATTTTAAAATGAAGACGTTATAATATCTGTACAGTGTTATGATAAGCAGTCATCCAAAGTTATCAAGAAATATATTTTAGAGCTTGTAACATTGTAAAATTGTCATGCATAATGGAAATTGTCAAGATATGTTTTATGTACTTTGTGTGGTTCTTGAACAAGTACTATATTTTCTTCCTGTCTTAGCTTAGAAAGGTAAACTATTCGGTTGACTCAAAATTTGATAATATCTGAAATGTATGTACTTTAAGAGAGCTTTTAAATTTTTAGTTCAGGAAATCTGCCTTATGCAGTACTGAACTTATTTCATATGCTGGTTACATATGGTTAAGACATATGCTCGTCTTAGGTGTTTTTAGATGTTGCTCATGGTCATTATTCATAAATGTTTATTTTGGATCTTGTGACTGTTTTGTGTAGTAATATCATTGTGTTGAAGTTTAGATGTGCCTGGAGATTAAATTTTCCTTACAATGACTTGGTAGTGCTTGTACTGTGAGAGGTATGTTATTGTTTCCATGTATGCAATGTACTCTCTGTCTTGAATAGATGATCTAGATATATATCTTGAGAATTTAAAAAATTTTTCTGTGATCTAGAATTGCTCTCCAGTATTCTGTGCATTCAACTTTTGAGTTGTTATTGTTGAACTAAATAAATATTGATTTTAACTTATTTAACATTGTATTCAGTCTACTTTCATCAACATGCCCAAGTCATTTTTCAGTTTTAACTGTGAGTTGGATCTGCAGTTACTAGTTTTATCTGTAGGATTGATTAGTGGACCTGAGAATGCTATGAAAGTGTTACATATACCAGAAGTATTATATAGCATGTAACTGTATGGAATGCTACTTAAACTAAAGGATAGCGATGTTTTTGCAGTTAAGAAGATATCACATATAAATTATAATATTTAATTTTCAGGAGAGGTTTTAACCAGTATAGATACTCATCATGTAAACAACTACTGGGGATGTGTTTCTCCATGTGGAAGGTTTGTGGCATCATCAGGTGAGAGAAGTTTTTCTACAAATACTGCAGCATTACAAATTAAATAAAATATAAAATGCTAAAGCAAGCTTTTTACAAGCTTTAAAAAAATCAGAACTGTAACTGTGGTTGAAGCTGTTCAAAAAAATGTTTTCTTCTGGTAACATATCACTAAGCTTTTATTATTTTGTTTCAACCTCTGTGTGATTCTCCAATGAACTGGAATCCATATTGACAGTTGAAAAACAATTAGAAAATATCTCATTATGTCAACTTTTCTCTTAGAGCATATGATGCTATGAGTATCATGTGCTCAGAAGAAACTTATGAAATTCCTAAACACTAATGTTTTCATTCTTAGCTCATTAAAATTAACCCAAAACCAATATTAACAGTTTTATATAATTTTATATATAGAATTAAATAAATATATTTTTAATTGAATAAATTTCAAGTCTAAAGTTTTATTTAAAAAATGTATGAAAAACAACCAGGAGTTTATTTTCTATACATGCTTTAGTTTTATGTTACAGTTTTGTCTTTGGATGATGGGTACACTCTCAAAGGTGCCAGATAGTTAAGTCAGACATCATGTTAGTGGTACTTAATGTAACAAATGTACCTAATTGCAGCTAACATAGTGTATATAGTATTGATGGTACTGATTAGGTATTTCAGTGTTTTGCCTAGAACTGAACAGTTAATTGATATAATTAATTACGTTTGAGCCTCAATTACAATAATTACTGTCATGTAAAATAATTGATTAAAAAATTATGATTAAATTAATTAATGTCATGAAAATAATATATTAATGTTTCCAATTTTTCTGTTTTTGATTATTTCAACTATCAAAGTACTTGGCATATTACCATTATGATTTCTCATTATCATACTTAATTCAAGGTTGCTCAGCTTCGATTAGTGTTAATTAGTTAAAACTAATTAACAAAATTAGTTTTTCTGATTATTATTATATTTTATTATTCCAACTATCTACGTCTTGTGAGAATAATGGATTAGTTGAACTTAATCGATGAATGAGCCCAACAATTAATCAGTTAACAAATTCCACAAATTACTGTCCTCTAGTTTGGTCAGAACTGATATTAATTGTATGTTACTGTGGTTTAGGTTTTACTCCAGATGTAAAAGTATGGGAAGTTATCTTTAGCAAAGCAGGGGATTTCAAGGAAGTAAAACGAGCTTTTGAACTGAAGGGCCACTCCGCAGGTGTTTACAGTTTTGCATTCTCCAATGACTCTAGCAGGTAGACATCAGTAGAATATAAAAAAATGTGTAATTTAGGTAACTAACTAAATCTAATTCAAGTAATCTATGTTGTAATTTATCTGGTGAGTGCACAAAAAGGAATCTTAATTTTCAGTGGATAATTTCCTAAAATATGAAAGCATGTTTAGTAAGTAGTTGAATTTTTGAATTTATACATGATTTTAAAAGTTCTAATAAGAAATTAATTGAAATATCCAAGGAAATGATAGGTAATACTGTTTGCTTTGTGACATACTTTATTGTAGAATAAGATGTGATTATTTTGATAAAAGTTGAAGCATTCTCATATGTTAATGTGTGTAATCTGTAAATAATATTGTTCGATCTCTTGTACTTTATAATGTTGATCAGAAATATGTTGTTTTTTCAGAATGGCCTCAGTATCTAAAGACCAAACATGGAGATTGTGGGACACCAACAGTGAGTTTTTGTTTCTGTACACATTGTTTGGAGAAGATTCTCCAAATTTATGTAACAACATTTAAAAGCTGTCTTAATTTCATACAATGTGAATTTTCACCCAAAGTGTTAAAGATTTCTACCATATGTATTCCCGTCATAGAGAAATAATAAATTAATTTGTTTAATGTTTTCACAAGTTCATGATGTGTTTACATGTGTGTGATTGTACATAAGTAGTTTGTGAAGAGCCTTCTTTTTCCATACCACCATTGGAGAACAGTTTTTTTTTGCAAAAGTATTAAACAGATAATATTTTGTTTGTTTTTAAATATGATCAAAAGTAAATTCACTTACAACCATTTTGAGAAAATAAAAATTAATGTGCTTTAAAGATAATTTTTGAAATTATCTGAACAGTTTTATCAACAAAAACGTGTATCATTTTTGATAGTGAATTCTTATGAAATTTGTGTATTAAAAGTACTACACATTTTGTTAATGAAATTCTTTCAAAAGATACCTTTCAATGCTTTTCATAGTTGTGAGTGTTAGTTACATTAATTTGAAAACAGAAGTCTGTTAAGTTTATTGTTTATAATTAATCAGTATGAATATTTTGTCAGATTTATGTAATTACAACAAATGTATCACTAAGATCAAAACTTGGTGCTCGTAAATTATAGTTATTGTGTCTTTGGCATTATGTACTAATGACTTGGGTTGAGCATGCGTGTATTTAATCATTGTACAGCTTCACAGTTGTAACCGCTATTAGTACCCAAGTAGAGAAGCAGGTGCATACTGAACAGTTGACAGCCTGTTGTTCAAAGCTGAAACCATTAATCTTAATAGTACCTTATTTAACATTGAACTAACAACTCAACAGTAGCTGCTATGACTGTGAAACAGTAGTTGAACTGTAGCAGCTATAACTTACTGATGACTACAATAGCTACTACAATTGTGAACCAGTGACTCAAAAGTAGCCGCTATAACTCTAAACCAGTGGCTGAATAGTAGCTGCTTCAACTCTGAATCAGCCTTATAAAAATTATTAACTCATCAAAGATCTGAAATAGCCTATTTTCAACCACATTTTGTTCATACGGTACACAATTTTTCCCATCTGTTACACAGGAGCAACAAATGCTTATAAATCTGTATATGGTTTGGCTTATCTTAGTTAATGAGATATGTATATTATTTTTATAGAAATTTCAGGGCTATTAATATTTATGTATTGAAAATTATTTGTTTAATGTGATACAGTGGTAAGCCTTAAGGCTTCTATTGCTAAAACCTGAGTTTCAGTAACCATGGTGGTCACAGCACAGATAGCTCATTGTGTAGCTTTGAGCTTAAAAACAACTAAAACTAAAATTTGACACAATTTGGGAACATTTAGCTGTTGGTAAGAGGTTAAAATTTGGATTAACTGAGTCATAAATTAAATTATGATGTATGAAAATTATTAGAAATAAATTGATTAAGTCAGAAATTTGCAAATTACAGTTGAAATATAACTATTTTTGAAACTTTGATTTTTTTGGCTTAAGATTTTGACTGCTAAATAAAAAAGCATTGTTATAATATGGCTTACATTTTAATATCTTTTACCAGTTGAATACCAGAAAGGCCAAGAACCTTATCTCTTACTGAAAGGAGAATTTGCTAGCCTATCTCCCAGTATAATAGCTCTTTCACCAGATGGCAGAACAGTAGCCATAGCCTCTTCCAAAAGTGTTTCTGTATTTTCAAGGGCAACTGGAGAAGAAAGTGAAAGACTTGAAGAAGTTCACTCAGGTTAGAGAACATGTTTGTGAAAAAAAGACATAATTAGTTATTGAAACATGTTGTTTTAACCCTAACCAGTTGTCAGTCCGAGAAATATTTTAACTCTTAGTAATGAATCATTGTGGGAGCACTTTATTTTTACTTTTATCCAGTTAATCAGAGAAACCTATTTTAACTGTTAATAGTCAAATATTGCACTAGAGCTGTAGACTGTGTCCTAATCTGCTCTTACTCAAATGATTTTACAAGTAACACAAACTTATATTCTCAGTTTGTTCTATTTTAAGTAAAAGGTTTTTAGATAATTGTTTTCTTTCATTCAGGGCTTCATATTTTTCATATCTTCAGTTGTTTTTCCACTATAAAAGGTTTAATAATAAATTAAGAAACAACATGTCTCTAAATTTTTTCTTTGCTCTCATCAGTCAAACTTTCATTACTTTAGTTCATAAAACTTTGGTTTTATTTCAGGCCCAATCAAAGCTTTACAGTTTTCTCAGAGTGGTAAATACTTACTTGTTGCGGGAGAGAAGCACATTCGAGTCTTCCATAATATCCAGGGTTACAAGAACACCGTCCATGAACTAGAAGAAAAAAAGAAACATGCCAATAACCAAACCTTTAAGGAACGACTACAGTCTCAAATAGATGAAGCCAAGTATGTTCAAATAGATATTTCTGTTAATTAACCAAAGAATGTTATTGCTTTTTACATAAATATATATCTGTAATTTTGCTATGATGGACAATGCTGTTTGTAACTTTCCAGCTTAACCAAAATTTACACTCCATGAATGTTCAACACCCATGAATTAAATAATGGTTTTACATACTAGCTTAATATTTCAACTAAAAAAAACAAAACTGCTTCTATATTTCTTGTTAATCACATACTGCAGCCCAGTGGCGTAGCAAGAGGGGGGCAGTTGTCCCTGGGCGCAGGTGTGAAGGGGCAAAAAATTTTCTCTGGCCTATAATGACTATTAATTAATAATTATGCCCTCCCCTAGGATATAGCACAACTGCCCTATGTTAAGTAAATATGACACAGTGTTACGTTATTTGTGTGTATTACGCTTGCAGTTTTAACTTTTAAAAGCCGCCCACTGAAATATAGTGAGACCGAATTGACGTACAGAAATAAATTGTACTATTCCATCATGCATCTGTAGATCAAATACAAGTCCTAGAGTACAACGTACAAGTAAGTGTATGTTCAACAAAAAGGAAATACGAGATTGATGTAACATATTAACTGGTGTGCCAGATTGGTAATATATGAAACAGGCAGGCCTAGATCTAGACCTAGTAAACATTATAGGCCTAATGTAGTGGTTTGTAATTGTATTGGCTGATTGTAAATCATGTCTTAAACCAACTAATGTACTAGACTTTAGGTCTAATTGCAGTTATAACTTTATTTCTAGACTCTAGGTCCATCATCATACAAATTGTAACCTATATTATAGGCATACTTAGATGTATACTAACTATTAAACTAGGCATTGCATTGGGACAGATCTAATGACTAAATTAATAGATCTAGATGTAACATTTGTTCTAAAAATTAGGCCTCATAAATCTAAATTTAGAATTGATGAGGCAGGGCTATATCTAGATCTGTGTAGATTCAATACAAGGTGCTTTCAATCTATGCACCCAAATCTAACGTCTACTTTAGATGTATAAAGCTAAATTTCTGTCATCATTATTATTACATCTAGATCTAAACCTAAGACTAAAAAAATGGAAATAACAGCTCTAACATTAATGTTAGATCTAGATGTACTAGCAATTTAATCTAGGAACTGTAATCTGGCATCACTAATTAGTTAGCCTATATTTAAGTTTTCTCATTCTATCAAAACCTTTAATAATAAATATAGCCTTTGAGCCTCTAGGCTTATATTATGTTATGATTACACCCTTCTCCACAGTGTGTGTAATTTTCATTCGAGCAATTTCAGACTTGTCTCCTGTAGTGTTCGTGTAGTTAAACCTATCGAGTTTTTAAATGTGATTTAGCAACTGCCAGTAATTTATATGGTGCTCATAAGCATGATTTACCAGCATATACACTCATCTGCATGGATTTTCTCATGGTTGTGTAACATTAATTAACATGAGTATGGGTGGTCTAAATAATGGCAGTTAAAGTGAAAGCAGGTCTATGTGCCTAACTAGTCCTGAGTTGCAACTATAATTGTATAATTTAAATATGATTTGTGGTTAGGAACCTAGGAAAGTAGAATGCTTCCTTTCATCTGACAATTTGCATGTTGCAACTAAATAGTGTAGTCATTATTTATTAACTTATTCTTTTAGCCCATTAAGTCGAAAAAAGAAAGTGGGGCACAGGAACGCAAAAGACGTGCACAATTTGCATCTTCGATGGTAAAGTCAAGCAAATTGATGAGCTTTCCTTGCTGGAAGTGATGACACCAGTAAGCCAGCATCTGTTCCTGTTGATGGCAGTAAAGAGGTCAAAGTGCAAGATTGTGAACATGCTATTTCATTTGAAAAAGAAAACAATGAAGAAACTGTTCTCTGTCATGTTGAAAGATACAATAATAATAAACAAGAGGATTCCACTTTGTCAGACACAAATCCACAGAATAGTGTTGCTAAGCTAAAAGAGGATGACCTAATAAATATTTTAACACACAAGGATATTGGATTTATGAAGTTTGATACGACAGGCTCAGCAGTTGTAACACATGCACAACGCACAGAGATTGTTAAAGTTGGAGTACATGAATTTCAACATAAAGAAGGCCTATTTGATGCCAAAGATGGGCGTTCTATGACTACATTTTGGTTCAAACGATGCCTTCTGAATGGACAAGAGGTCAGTCGTTCGTGGTTGGTGTATTCACCTCTATATAAAGCAGCATACTGCTTTTGTTGTCTTCTTTTTTCATCTACATGTATGACATCCGATAGTCGGTCTGCTTTCAAAACACGGTGGATTCTCTAAGTGGAAAAAAATTTAAAAGTTAAATGCCCATGAAAATAATGATAGTCATCGTGCTTCATTTGCTGGTTGGAAAGACATTGAGCGCCGATTTCGTCCTTAAAGTGGCATTGATGAAGAGCTGCAAAGGCAAATTCAACAAGAAAAAGTAAATGGAGAGATGTACTGCGAAGGTTTGCTAGATTGTACACAATATTTAGCTTCTCATAATCTAACAAATATAGCATTTGAGCTTCTAGGCTTATATTATGTTATGATTATACCCTTCTCCACAGTGTGCGTAATTTTCATTCAAGCAATTTCAGACTTGTGTCCTGTAGTGTTCGTGCAGTGCCAGTTAGCATGATTTAGCGTGAATCAGAAACATGGTGGAGTGCAAGAGAAAAGGCAGTAAAAGTTGTACAGGAAAAACT